TATATATATATACATATATATATATATATACGGAGGATGTTCTGGGAAAACCCTATTGAGCATTCAATTGACTACTTAGAATGTAGCCAAATAGATGTATTATAAGTATTAAACGTGTGGATATAGTATACGCATGGATTACAATAGAACGATCTAATTCACAGAACTTTTGTTTCAAACTATTGAATTTTTGTTTTAAAAATACTGTTTAATAATTTAAGTTATATATAAATGTGTATGTAATATCATAACTTTAATACGGTAAAGGAGCGATTAAGTTTGTAGTCGTGTATAAATATATTGCTGAGTTAATTTTCTTTTATGCCACGCGATAAATCCGAAAAAGATTTTCTTAAGAAATCTTATTGTTTTTTTAAATTTCTAATAGATATTCTTAATCTCTGGAGAATGTTTTTGCGGTTGTATGCATTATGTTAATGATGCGGATTTGCTTTGCAAAGTGAAATACTTTTTCACAGAGGTGTACATGCACGAAATGCAGGACTTCTATCAGACATTACGTAAAGCGGAAATTAATAAGCTACTGAAAAGCAAAAGTGGTATTTCTCCTTTAATTAGCATAATTGTTTCAATCTATTTTACAGTTTAAAAAGGACATGTAACATATTTCTTAGTTAGTTTAAATATCTTACTTTGCATATTTCCCTAGAAACGTATCTTATTCGATACTAATAACGATTAATATTAACAATTAATGCTAACGATTTTTGTAAATATATATATAATATTTATCGTCGACAAGATTAATATACTCGGTGAATAATGGAAGTGGAAATGATATTGTGTCACAGGAATAAGAGAATGTCACCGTGATGTTACACCGAAGCTCTTCGTCGCGGCGCCGGCGAGCGTCGCCAGGCATGGCAAACTCGAGCCAGCCGGCAGGGGTGTCTTCGATGCGAGGTCGACGAGCGAGCGTCGCCACCGAAAAGCCCCTCATCTTGCCGCCAAGCAGCCCCGGCGAAACGATGGAAAGACAGAGATCGCCGAGGGGTAGCATGGTCCCAAATATCGCTCTGGATACCGAGGGCCACTCTGACGAGGTTAGTATTCACCCTCTTACATCTTTGGAATTCCTGTATAATTTCTTTATATATATACTTTCCTTGCCGTTATTACTTTAGCATACAGTATACCCCCAAATTCGTCTTGATATATGTGCTATAAGGCGGGGGAATGTAAATTTGAAAGCTTATTTTCCCCGAAAAATTGTGTATATAAAAAGGCTATCTAAATTTTTAAAACGGTTACAAATAATTTGAGCAATTTGACTTGACAAATATTTTTGCGATGCTAGTAGTTATGTAAAGCGTAAATAATCAGTTCACTCGATTGAGATTTTTAGTCAGTCGAATTTTTCGTCTGAAAAAAATGCAACAGAAATATCGTTTTTCCATTTTTTCCGCTTGGTTCGGGATAGGCTGTATTACACGGAATATTCAATTATTCGAAGAATACTCGATTGTATGGGTGTTTAATGTCATATTCGGTCAATGTGAGCGTATACCCATTTATGAAACCAAATACAAGCTTTTCTCATACATTTTATATATTATTTTATCCACGAAATTTTGATATGAAATTTTGTCGTGAAATTTTCACGCAGATAGATTGTTATCATATCTATCACATTTTATTCATTAGCAGATGATTGGTGCAATGTAGACTTGCGTTTGAAAGCTATCGGTTAACTTTACACTATGATCGCTAAAATGATTAAAATCCATTCATTTCAATCGAGCGTTTCGACATATTTCGCGAGCATGCGACTTTGCTTTTACGTACAGACATAAATTTTGTCCCTCTGTTAATTAAAATAGGTACATCGTAGAGATATGAATAATAATATTTATGCACACATCTCCAATAAAATCGAATAAAATTTAAAAAAAAATCAATTAACTTGAGTAATGAGAAACATTTTGTGAAGGAAAATGCGATGAGCCAATTTACTTTTTGTAATATTTTTGGCATCTGTCAAATTTACTTGAAAATAAGAAAGGGAATTATGTCGTGACGTTTCTTAATAAAAATTGAAAATTGAAAATTGAAAATTGATTTCTCCGTTCCGATTTAAAATTATTTTTCGTGTTTTCTCTGCTCTGTCAATAATTTAAATAGATAGAAAACAGCGTTCTAGAATCTCTACAATTTATTCCAGGGAGTCAGTCGCAGACTTTTGCCAGATCCCGAACAGTACGGCACCGGTCGCAACTCCCTGGCGCCCGAGGCAAGCCGCAGTCCGCGAAATTCTCTGATACCTGACGATTACTGCAGAAGCCCGCGGGGCTCTCTGATACCGGATTCCAACAGGAGCCCGCGAAACAGTCTAGTGCCCGATGCGGCGCGTTCACCGCGATGTAGCCTCACACCCGAGGTAACGTTAAGTCCGCGTCACTCCCTGGTGCCGGACTCGGCGCTCAGTCCCAGGAACTCGCTTGTGCCGGACGTGGCTTACAACCGGAGTCCGCGAAACAGCATAGCGGTCGGTGCGTCTAGAATTTCTTTGCTGCCCGAGAACGGTAGCGCGATCACAGCCACTTCCCGTAGCCCCAGGCACTCGTTGGTACCAGACTCGACGAGAAGTCCCCGCGGCAGCATGGCGAACCTGGATTTCGACCGGAGTCCGCGCGGCTCGTTCTGTCCGGACGTGCACAGAACACCCAGGGGTAGTATCACCCCCATCGAGGTCGCAGACAGGAGTCCCCGCGGTTCGATAGCCTCCGAGTGCCTGAACCAGAGCCCTCGCGGCTCGATCGCGCCCGATCCCAACAGATCGCCCAGAGGATCGATAGCGCCGGATCCCGCGAATCGGTCCCCGCGCGGATCGATATGTCCGGAGAGTAACAGAAGCCCGAGAGGATCGGTCGGGCCGCACGATCAGACGAATCGATCGCCGCGTGGCAGTATAGGCGTGAACGACGCCGAGAGGCACTCGAGGGGTTCTGTCGGAGGTATCGACGACGAGAATAGAAGTCCCAGAGGAAGCATTGGGCCTGAAGGGATCGATAGAAGTCCTAGGGGAAGCCTCGGTGGACATCAAGATAGAAGAGCGCCACGGGGCAGTCTAGCTTTGCAAGATCCTAGAAGAGCTTCCGCAGATCAGGGTAAAAGAAAAAAATATATATATAATTCTTTTAATATTTTTAATTATTAAATAATTTATCAATTGTTGAAATTTAAATTAGCCTTTTATATCCCCCTCCCCCTTTCTCTCCCCCCTTAATTTTTTCTTTTTTTTAACATTTATAAATAATTACTGTTAAAATTGCTATTGCTAAGAAAGAGATTGAACCTCTAGTTATCGGGCTGATTTTTTCTATTATGGTACGAGTAAATCAAGCTTATGATGGGATTGTCATGGATTTGTTT